AATTGCTAAAAGTGCATCACAAAAACTTGGTTTTCTGTGTCGGGCCAGGAGTTATTTCACTACCAGTCAGCTGCTTATGATCTATATGGCACATATCTGACCTGTCCTGGAATACTGTTCCCATATTCGGAGTGCAGCACCCAAACATACCCTGACACTGTTGGATTCTGTCCAAAAAATGTCAGTAGATAGTTGATCAAAAGTTGAGATAGGGACATGTAAGCCGTTTTGACCAATTATGAATAGTTTCGACACAAAAAATTCTTGAACTTGGAAAATCTCGATTTCTCACACCCTATATCTCAGTAATTATAACTGCTAGACCCCAAGTATGATGGATTGTTGAAATCAGCTCACCAGGGAGAATCTCAAAATGAAATAATATATAGGGTGTTCGATTGAAAAAAGTTCAACTTCAGTGTTTTGTGATTTTTGGGGACATCCTGTATGTTTCAAAATAATTTCAAATGGTAGCCTATGTTGACATGTTGACATGCAACTTCCTAGAGAGGAAGAATTCCAAGAAGATAAGTGGTTAGCCTTCTAGAGACCGAGGCGTTACTGGTGGCCAGTGGTGGCCCACCCTGTATATGTATATCCATTTTTTGTGCTTATAAATATATCTGAGAATGTTCCTTTTCAATACTTTTGTATTTGATATTTGAATACTTTTTGGCCTTTGAAAATATTTACTATTCAAATATTCTCAATATCCGAAAGTATTTAATACTTGATATTCAAATACTGTTCTCAGAGTATTTGCCCAGCTCTAATAATAATCATGTTGAATAGTGTGAACGTTACATTTTCGGAATACCCCAGCCTCTCGTTCGACCAGAACACACGTGCGACCTCAACCCCATCTCCCCCTCCCCAGCTGGGGGCGAACGGGGAAGCTTGGGGAAGAAGAGGGACGCCCGGCTGGGGGTACGACGCCGACGTCTCCCAAGCACGGAAAAACATCTCGGCGGCGGAGAAAAAGAGCGTCGTCGGGCGCCAGTCAGCCGGTCTCCCGCAGCTTCCGGACGTCCGACGCCGTGCCCGGAATGTTAGGGGCGAATCGGGGAATTCAGAAAGACGCGTTCTTTTCTGCGAGAGCCAACACAGGGAATTTTCGGCGCCGCTCATACAGAACTAGTTTCAGAGTTGTTCACTCATGTGAAGTTGGGGCTGGTATTTTTGAAAAATCTTATTTTTCTGCAACCGACACAAAAGTCGTCAATTTCAATACCAAAATAAGCTCTTGAATTGACGTTTCTATTACTGACACAAGAATAGGTGTGTTGCTAGGCAACACTTTTAGGTCCTAGGAGCTAAAGTTGAAATTTAGTTCCTAGGAACTGAAGTTGAACTTAAGCTCCTAGGAACTAAAGTTGAACTTTAGCTCCTAGGAACTAAAAAGGATATACTAGAGGTCATCAAGAGTAAACAACATTGTTATGGTTGGTTGTTATGATTGGTTGTTTGGGTTGGGACGCATACCTGATTTGTTTCCGATTTCAGCGGAAGATATAAATACACCATATCATAGTTCAGTATTTTTATTTTGATCATGAAAGCCTTCAGGAATTACATACTTGCTTGATCTATAATTTATTCGTTATTCTCGGGATTGATAACTTGTTCTTGAATAATCACGGCCAGCAATAATTTTTTTTTGTCTCACACAACGATATTGTTTACCTCCATTTAATTACTGAGCCAAAAACAGTGGAGTCCGAGGTTAGCAATCATGCGAGATAATACCGATATATCAGCCAAAAATTTCAAGTATTGTTTTTCCCTTGAAAAATATATTTAAAATTTTGGAAAACCAAAGGCAACCAAGGCAATTATATATTTAGCACCCCCACCCAGTAGTGTAGCGAGAGAACAGCTATTTTCTTCAGCTAGAAACGTATACGAGGGCGCTAGAAATCGACTAACGCCTGAAAGAGCTAAAAATTTAATTTTATTACATTATAATTTACCGAAACCTAATTTTAAATATTGATATTTGTTTTGTAAGTATCTTTTTTAGAATTACTGTTGATTTTTTAATATTAAAAATGAGTTTTGGTATTTTTTTAGAATTTCATGTTTGTTTTTGAATATTTTGTGTTCAATATTTGGTTTCTTTCTCGGTTTCTTTCTTAGAATTTATGTTTGTTTTTTTAATATTTTTGAGTAAATATGTATTATTTTAAACAAAATATATTTTTTGGGGGTTTGTTTTTGTGTTTTTTTTCTTTCAGGTGAAAAGTTACACCATTTTAAAGACTATTATATTTTATTTTATTATTACTAAGCCGATACCGATATAGGCCGATATTGCCTCTTCATATCGGCCGATACCGATATCGGCCAAACACGCCGATATGGCCGATATACCGATACCGATATCGGTCGATCCCTACTTATAATACTCATTAGGTTACCTACCATACTATTTTTCGATTCATCTTTTTATTGCACCTCGAGTTGCACCCCCTATATTTTAAATCAAACATCAAAAGTATAGGCGAGAGTATAGATAGACGGTTGTCATCTAGAACGACAATGGTATACTTAGGTGTTGAAAGAAGGGAAACTTTTCATCAAATTCATTTTGTGAGCTCTAACTTGGAATTTGAATTATTCTGATGAGATAGTGGAAGAGGTGTGAAATCGAGGGTGGAATAGATGCTACAAGTCAGGCAATTATCTGAGCATGTTCATGAAAGTATTCCACATCTGTCTCAAGAGAAAAATATTTCAAAAATTGATTTCCTTGCAATCCGAATTAATTTGATAAAAGTGGACAATGGCTATAGAATGGATGCAATATAATTATAAAACTAGTATCTGACCGTGTTCACTGAAGTCCATTCATTACAGTGAATATTTGCCTCATATATATAAAATTTCTCATAAGAGCAATGAAATTATAGAAAAATTACAGCGGTAATTGCACTACAAAGCGATGATTGCACTGCGAAAACATCCCGTCGCCATATCAACACATTTGAAACTGTGGCCCTAGACGCCAGTAAACAATACTCATATATGCTCATATCCTTCGAACTCTGGCTCTTTCGCCAAAATATTAAAATGAACAAAATAAATAAACTCTTGCAATTTTCAGATAACACGCTTTCTTGCGAAATTATTGGTATTTTTATGCACTCGGAAACTATAAGCCAACAGATCTCAACTTCATAGTATTTTCCACTTCTAGATTCTTGCAGGGTCAACTTCGTTATCGCAAAAAGAGACATCAAAATGAAATGAAACAAATACTTAACGATTAATTTTTCGTTTCATTAAATTGATATCAATTAGGTACTGTCAGTCTGTCGCCAATGAAGCCATAAAAGCTGGTTATTGAATGTTATGTATAATTTAAAGCTAGCGAGGATTTCCTCAAAATCTTGGCAGATTATTCTAATGAAATGTTTACCGAAGCTCTTGAATCATTATGCAAAAATAGACCACTATAGAAACAACTGGGTGGGACGACATTCAATTTCGATTCGACAGAAAGACAGTGTGTTCCACTTAAAGTGGAATCTTTAATGGATCTCAGACAGGGAATAATTTCAAATACTATTAAGTATTGTTCTCGGTATTGTTATTGAAATTTTCTACGGATATTTAGTTTCTGTAATGTCAGTTCTTTCACATGTGGTTGTAACAACAACAACAAAAAATTAACTACAACTTTGTCAATAAGATCCGACTCAAGATCCGAAATTACTATACCAAGGTGTATGATTTTGTTCTCACCTCTAGCAATATATTTTAATCATTATAATCCTGACCTATTGTCACTATGACAGCACTCCTTATCAATGCTGATGACCATATTTTATTGACATATATATGTTGAAATTTTAAATGTACTGTACTTTTATTGACTTGTATAAATACTATCTATGTATTTTGATACCAATAAATTGATTGATTGATTGATTGATATAACAAGTCATTATTGATTAATTCTAACTAGATTCGAGTGCCATTTCTGCGAATCTTGGATCAGAAGATTGCAATCGGGTTAATTACAACACACTTTACGCCTCGAAAAGGTGAAAATAATGGTAGGTTTAATAGCTAGTGGTGGAGAAGAGATTTATATTTTTTGACAATAAATTTTATTTCGATTTGATTTGGTCCCATTGACCCTCATGAATGGAAAATGAAAATCGGTTATCCCTACTATTCAGAGAGGTAGTACCTTATTATATTATTTGACCGACCTCTAGCGCCAAACTTTTTGCTGACTACGCCTATGGCCTATGGCTACATGATGTTCCTTCCAGTTTTGGTTTTGTTTACCACTGAAACACAAAAACATCACGTCTCTGGGTCTCCTCGTCACTTCCTTATCACTACATGTGGTTTCGGAAAAAACAAACAGGAACAACGGAAACTCATCATCACCTACTCATATCGAATTTCGTATGCTGGATGTGGATCAATATTTCCACGAATAAAAATATTATAGGGACCTTTCTGGCCCTTCGGCCTCCGCCCCTGTAGGCTTTGAAAACAGCATAGAATCAAGAGAGAAGGTGCGTCAAGCACACGAATATAAATAAAGTAAACGCCAGAAGCAGAAAATATTGATTTGCTCATAAATTCTGGGTACAATTAATTTCGCCACTTTATAGATCATCGCTTCGACTCACAAAGAAGGCTGCGACAAAATGTAAACAAAAGGTAGTTCACCCCGCAGTTGTCAAAATGAAGCCATTTATCGAATGGAAATTATGAGGACAGAAATAGATAGTTAGATCAAAAACTAGAAAGAAAGGCTACTTGACAACATTAATAATTATCAGATAAGATAAAGATTTAGTTGAGATGATAATCATTCTATTCTAGCGAGAAATACATTGTAGTTTAAAACCCCAGAGCTGCACGAACTCTGAGCAGATACTTATGACTTCCGTACTACCAAAAAAGGTATGATCCACGAAGTAATGGCAATGTATGCGTTCGCAATCGTTAATCATTGTTTCCAGATGAATTCGACTCACCTGATGATGGACGTCCTACAGTTACATATCTAAAAAAACACGCACTTTCTCACGGATTTGCAAAAGTCACGCCCAACCCCGATTATTTAGATTTCGACTGATTTTCTGATTTCTGCCAGTGGCGACACCGCTGGCCGTCCGCCGAACTACACATTTCCAGTGGCGGGGCACCAGAAATTGGAGCTGTATAATAACGCGTGTATTCATTGATTTTGTTCTCGTTTTCGCACGCAGGGTACCGATATTTCTCACAAAGAGGGCGCTAGCTGTGCTGATACACAATGTTGGTAGAACTGATATTTGTATGGGGAGTTGCTTTGGTCAGGAAACACATTTTAGGTTCCGTATCTCAAAGTGGATAACTGAATTGATGAATGCACTTGCAAAAAGTAATAGAATATAACAGAACTCCGAAGTTGAATGTTCGATGGAATGATTTCTTGAATAACCACTTCCCTTCATGCGAATAATCATCAATTCTACCAACCTTGATGATTTGCCCACTGTGCCTTGGAAGGTGCTGAAAGTGGTTTGTGATATTGTTGAACTGTTGAACACACAAACAGTCGATGAGAATTAATAGTAGTGAAATGTTATTTCAACATTTATTTTGTTAGCAAACTCGACAACTCTACAGTAATTTTTGAATTATTTTATTATGTTTATTCACACTTCACTTGAGACAGAATTGGATCTAGAATATAGTTCATATTGTTTTATTAGGATCAAATGTGACACTTTGTATGACAAACGAATTTTGCGAGTCAACCAGAGTCACCACTTTTGATCCTAATGAAACAATTGATATCTAATCAATAAAATATAAGTGAAAATACAACTATTTTGAGTCACTTGATGAACTTGTCAGTGTCAAAGCAGCTATCATATCAGCTGTCATCCAACACGTGTTTAGTTCCTAGGAGCTAAACACGTGTTCAATAACTTTAGCTCCTAGATACTAAAAGTGTTGCCTAGCAACACCATTAATCATTTTATTGTGTCAGAGTAAGAGAAACGTCAACTTCAAGAGCTAATTTTGGATCAAAAATGGACGATTTGAGACGATTGCAGATAATAGTTATTTATGCAACAAGTGCAAAAAGTGAATGTTTATTGCACGAGTTGCATACAAAATTTTTTCTACGTTCATGCAAAAAGCAAAAAATGATTTATTGAGGTGCGGCACTAGGTACAATTCTGTTAATTGTCAGAATTAATTTTTGACTGACGTTTCTATAACCACAGTTGCAATACAAAAAATGTTTGTCATGATGACAGCACGTTGAAGCAGAATGGCAGATGAGTGCAATAAAAACTTTATTGCACTAAGTGCAATAAAGAACTTATTTTTCCACTAAATATAGTTCAATAAAGGTCTGCTTTTTGCATGAATGTAAAAAACATCATTTTCACATTATTTTCTTGATTTTGAGACAGGTACATACGTACAGGGTGATTTTCTCCCAATTCTCTCGATATCAAAAAATTCAGTTAATTGAATAGTATTTTGATATATCCGAGTATAAGATTATGTATCAATATATTCATATTGTGTGTCTTTTAACTTCATGACATGCTACAAATGTACAGTGTGTCATTCCTGCGAATGTCGTATAGGAACACTGAATTCGGGTTGAGGTGGCTATGTCTTTACTGACTACTGTTTCCTAAAATGAAGAAAACTACCCTATAGGTTGTAAAAACACACTTTTCGCCTCGAAAAGGAGTAAATAACGGTACATTTTATAGGTAGTGGTGGAAAAAATACATAATATTGAATATTGTTCGAAACCTGATTGACATTATTGAGAATGTTTCGGTTTTATTAAAAAGGCGTTGTTGTAGCTGAACTTTCACGGAAATATACCTATTCCTCTCGCGAGAACGTGCTGTGGTATTTCTCTTGAAACCCACATAGTTCATTGAAGATTTGCGTTGGCGCCATTAATATGGGACAAGAAGGCTTGTGTAATACACTGCTGTTTTACTTTTATAGCATTCGATCATATGAATTATTGTAGGTAGGTAATATATATTATTAATCGCGTTGTATTAGGTACAAATTGGTTTAGTTTGATTCGACGCGAACTCAATTTTTTATCGACCAAATTAACCATTTCTATATTTGAGAAAAATATTGCACCACTTTGAGAGGGATGAATGGTATCCTTGACATTTCTATTATTATTCCACTTTGGTACGTTCCAAATTTTCAACCTACTGTCTTGACAAAAGCTAAGAAATGATGACAAAACATTATTTTTCAAGAATCTACTTACTGGCCAAGATATTTGATGTTTCTCAACGTTCTTCTGATACTTTTTCACCGCATTTTCAACACTGTTCTTTTTGCCTTTCCCCTGTTTCTTAGGAGTATTCACGGGCAGATTAAAGGACACATGGTTCTGTTCATTTTCACTTTTTCTCTTAGGATAAGTCACAGGAATATCACTGACAATCATGACCGAGGGTCCCCATGTCTCACACCACTTAGCCTTAAAAATTGGCACCTGTTTATTGTTTCTATATTGACATGAGGGGCTATGGCCTGGCAAATGAGGAGCAATGGGTAACCACAACTCCATTACTATTATTATACATAAATATATAGGATACTAAACTTGTAGTAGAAGTAGAATCAAGCCTTCTTTGAAACAAAATAAGCTTTTAGCTCACTCACTGACTACAAGACAACATGATGTTCACACTATAATTGATAGATTCGATAAAATAAACTGACATTTATATATTTCTATATATTTTGGAAATGGGAAATAATATGATCTTCCAGGTAGAAACGATAGAAGGTATGAAGGATAATGATGAATTCATTATGGAATCATGATCTATTTTTTATTGCTACTATACTCTGGAGGATAGGATTTTCATGGAATTACACAGATTTGGAATCTCTTTCCTGATTATTATTTTTTTTTCATACCTACTATGGTGATCGTCATTATTTATCTTTAGTTAATCACATACACTCTTATAAATTGCATGATATTTTGGAACGCTCTGTTTATTAATTGTAGATACTATAATGATATATGTATAAACCAAAAAAGGACAATACTTTATCTGATTCAGATACTGTTATAACAGTTTGTTTCTTACGCGTTTAATTTTTTAATTTGTTTTGTATTTTCGTTGTTCATTTTTACTATTCGTTCCTGTTTTTTATATACTCAAATCTTATAAGTATTATAATTATTATGTAACTGCGTATTTTGTGATATTTGTGAGTATTTTCAAATTCAGTTGCAATTCTCAATGTGTTTTTTATACAGTTGCAACAGTAAATTAGACAGAAAAAAACTTTTTTTGTTCAAATATCTCCTAATTTACAGTTGCAACTGTAAAATAGCCCTGATGTTCGTGAAAATACAGTTTTTGGCAGTTCAGACGCGTCCTTCACTATAGTATCTTCTCTTGAAAAAATTTATTAACGTGAATCAAAAACCATTATGTTGAGGACGAATTATACCTGGAATCACACTTACTATCTTAAACATTATTTTGCTATATGTGTTATCACTCATATTTGCCACAGGCAGTGTTGGAATAAGTCACGACTGTTATAAAAAAGTAACAATTAAAGCGCAGATACGGCCTGTTCTAGAATACTGTTCCCACATATGGGGTTCAGCACCAAAACATACACTGATGCTCTTAGATTCCATCCAGAGAAGAGCCATTCGCCTGGTGGGTGACGCCACACTCACTCACTCTTTGACATCATTGGAACATCGTAGAAAGGTCGGCGACCTTTCACTTTTCTATCGATACTTCCACGGGAAATGTTCTTCGGAAATCTCTGCTATCATCCCTTCACTAGCAATACCAATCAGACGAACTAGACAAGCCCAGTCAGCACATCCTTTCGTTGTCAACCTCGAAAGATGTCGAACAGCACTTCATCAAGACTCCTTCATCCATATAGAACGGCTAGGCTCTGGAATTCATTGCCTGTGGAAGTATTCCCAACAACATATAATCTCCAAAAGTTCAAAAAAAATTCCAATACCTACCTCCTGTCCCTATCCTTCCAAGGAACGCACGATGTTCCTTGAACATTATAGGGATTCCTTTTCGTGCGCTCCAAGCGATAAAAAAAAAAAAAGTCCGACTTTTTGAATTAATTCGGACTTTTTCGAATTAATTCACGTCAAAAAACAAAATCATGCTAGTTCCCTGACGATAGTTGATATTTTTCCCCGCCGCCGATGAATTGCTCGGTCGTGTTATTACACTCAGAGAAATAGACAGTAGTGAATACCAAACGATCAGTAAAATAGAAGCCAGTCACTACATTCATCAAATAATACCACAACAAAATTGTATCATACTATAAGTATCTAACTATTTTGTAGTGGTGATATTTGATATAGTATAGTATTATACAATTTTAGTGATGGTATTATTAGATGAATGTAGGGACTGGCACCTATTTCACTAAAGGTTTGGTTATTTTTTTGTGCATTAAATCGTATCATTCATGATAGAGACTTATAAATTTGTAAAATTTTGAAACATTTTCGAGATCAGATTCCATAATTTTTTCTATGGAATTGAGGAAACCATGTTCCACTTGTAGAAAGATTTGTTTTTCTACATTAAATCTCACAATGATTTTTATATAATATCATCCCGTATATATACCTCATTTTGAGATTTTGTACCAGAACACTTTCACATTATCAATAACTATCTAAACAATGGGAATTTTTCAACAAACATTCTCAAGATTTAATATTATTCAATTATTCATCGAAAATCGCATAATTTTGAAGACAAAATAATACTTATATCTGCGCCATAAATGTCTGGTTAAAAACATGAATGGTTTCGAGAGAAGACATCATGCTTCATGATCATGCGGTCAAAAAAAAAATTATAAAAAATATTTGTTCAAACAGGATTATATCGACATCGCTGTAGCTTTAAACTACTTCAATTATCATCCTGTAAGAAGTACTTCTGAAATTTTTGTATTTTCATCACAGGGCTTTCAGAAGTTATGCGTGAAATAGTAACTTTTGTTTTTCCCTGTATACTGTTCAAGCCATCAGCTTTTCTTGGGAACTAAAATTGAGCTCGATA